GTCCACCAGCTAATGCATGGGCAAATTAAATATGGTCTAGCCATATACCAAAAGATTAACCACAGGGCCGGGTGTGGTGGCTCATGCCTGTAATCCCAGCATTTTGGGAGGCCAAGGTGGGCAGATCACGAGGTCAGGAGTTCAAGACCAGCCTGACCAACATGGCAAAACCCCGTCTCTACTAAAAAGAAAAAAATACAAAAAAAAAAAATATTTAACCACAGAAGGAATGAAGTCCTGGCAAATGCTACGACATAGATGAAGAACCTTGAAACCATTATGGCAAGTGAAAAGAGGCCAAACACAAAAGGCCATATATGGTATGACTCCATTAGCATGAAATGTCCTGCACAGGCAAATTCACAGAGACAGAAAGCAGATGAGAGGTTGCCAGAGGCGGAGCTGGGAATGGTTGCTAATAGGCACACAGTATCTTTTTTTGTTTGTTTGTTTTGTTTTTGTTTTTCTTTTTTAAGGCATGCAGTATCTTTTGGGAAACTGTTCTGCAATGAGATAGTGCTGATTGTTTATCACCTGGTAAATATACCCCACACCTCCAAATGGTATACTTTAAGAATAATTGGCTGGGCATGGTGGCCCACGCCTGTAATCCCAGTGCTTTGGGAAGCTGAGGTGGATGGATTGCTTGAGGTCAGGAGTTTGAGACTAGCCTGGCCAATATGGTGAAACTCCATCTCTACTAAAAATACAAAAATTAGCCAGGTGTAGTTGGCATGCCTGTAACACCAGCTACTTGGGAGGCTGAGACAGAAGAATCACTTAAACCCAGGAGATGGATGTTGCAGTGAGCTGAGATCCCACCACTGCACTCCAGCCTGGGTGACAGAGCAAGACTCCATCTCCAAAAAAAAAAAAAAGTTTGAGACCAGACTGGGCAGCAACTTAGTGAGCCCTGGTCTCCAGTGAGTGAGTGAGTGAGTGAGTGAGTGAGTGAATGAATGAATGAATGAATGAAAAAAGAATAATCAATGTTGACTTTCTTGTTGGTGGGAGTGGGGGTTCCAGCAGCTGCAATCCCTCTGATGGGTCCCGGCATTCTTGGAACAGGGTCCAAACTCCAGACGTTGGCCCTACACTATCTGCCACGCCCCTCACTCCAGTCTCATCCCTGACCTTGAGCTTCTCCTGGCCCCAAGGTGCCTGAGAGGCTGCCTTTTCCCACCCCTGGACCTGCCTTTGCACAAGCTGCTCTCTCCCCAGGTTTCCTGCACCAGATCTCAGACCTTAGGGTCGAGGTCACATACTTGGGAAGCCCCCTCTGTTCTAGCTCTGGCCAGGAGCCCTTGGTGTGTGCTCTCATGGCCATCCTGCCCCACCTGGACTGCTTGCCTGTCCAATACTCCTCCAGGATCACCAGCAGGGAACCAGGCATCTCCCCTCGGCTGTAGGCCCTGCACCCATCTCAGGGCAACCCACCGTGAAGCAGATGTGGTACATACAACAAGGATTTGAGTGCAAGAACCTCACCACTGTAACTCCCATTTTATAGGGAAAGGAGACTCGGAATTTTCTGGGGGTCACACATGAGGAGGCAGTAGCACTAGGACTTGAACTCAGGCTATGCGGCTCTAGATCAGCGCTTCGAAATGGGTGATCTGGGCCCCCAGGGGACATTTGGCAACATGTTTGGTTGTCACGCTGGGGAGTGGGGCTGGAGGAATGCTAATAGTCTCTTGTGAATGGAGGCCAGGGAGGCTGCTAAGCAACGTACAATGCCCAGAACTGCCCCACAGCAGAAAACTTTCCAGGTCAGCAGCACTGAGGCCGAGAAGCCCTGCTCTGGGGTGTGTGCCCCTGACCACTAGGCTGTCCTGACTCTTTGGTGGCTTCCTCTTCCTCAGGATAAAGGCCAAAGTCCTGACCTTGGATGGCAAGGCTTGGACAACCTGGCTGCTGCTGCTCATTTCTCCAGCCCCACTGGGTCAGATTCCCCTTTGTCCCCATTACCTGGCCTCCCAGGATCCTTCCAACATCCCAGTCTTCACCCTGCTCAGAGCCAAGATCCCACTGGAGCCCCTGCCTGAGCTGCGCCCACCTAACCTGGTTCCCACAGGTCCCACAACCAGCTGACGCAGTTCCTTCCACTCGCTCTCCAGGGCCTGCAGACCCCAGGCCTCATTCGCTACTTCCCTTCACAGTGCTTGCCTAATGAAAGCAAATCCTGGCTTAGTGTGGGTAGCAGAACAATGGCTCCCAAAGATGTTCACGTCCTAGTCCCAGAAACTGTGAATATGTCACCTTCCTTGGCAAAAGGGCCCCTGCAGATGTGATTAAGTGAAGCATCTTGGAATGGGAGATCACTGTGGTCATCCAGGTAATCTCAAGGGTCCTTACAAGAGGGAAGCAGGAGGGCCAGCAACAGAAAGACAGGAAGATGCCATTCTATGGGCTTTGAAGGGGGAGGAAGGGGCCACGAGCCAAGGAGTGCAGGCAGCGCTAAAATCTGGAAAAGGCAAGAAAAAAGGCCAGAAAAGGCCAGAGCCTCTGGAAGGGGCCAACCTGCCACCACCTTGACTTTAGCCCCGTAAGGCACATTTTGAGGTTCTGACTTCCAGAACTACAAGATAATACATGTATGTTGTAGCCGAGCACAGTGGTCCATGCCTGTAATCCCAGCACTTTGGGAGGCTGAGGTGGGCAGATCACTTGAGGTCAGGAGTTCAAGATCAGCTCAGCCAACATGGCAAAACCCTGTCTCTACTAAAAATACAAAAACTAGCCAGACATGGTGGCAGATGCCTGTAATCCCAGCTACTTGGAAGGCTGAGGCAGGAGAATCACTTGAACCCAGGAGGCAGACGTTGCAACGAGCCAAGATCGTGCCACTGCACTCCAGCCTGGGCAACAGAACGAGACTCCATCTAAAAGAAAAAAAAAAGTGTGTGTGTTGTTGTCGTTGTTGTTTTTAATTGGGCAGCCTCCTGAGCCAGGGTAGGTGCAGAGAGGTTCCTGCGTGTTGTTTTAAGCCACTAAGTTCATGGTAATTTCTCCCAGCAGCGATCAGAGGCCGATACGGTAATACCTAGGCAAGAACCAGGCTGCAAATCTTCACATTTTCTTTCCTCTTTCAAATGTGTGGAATAAAATTCAAATGAATCAGCTATTCCAAGGGCAAAGTTTTAATTATATTCCTGCTTCATTCTCTGCTGACAAGAATGTTAATTCTCTGCTAACTCGGTGCTGACGGCTGCTTTGCAGCTTGGGAGGGGCCCCACATTCCCTCTGGCCAGGTGATCAGGACACAACCGCCAACTCCTCCCAGCCTCCCTGTCCTCTTCTGTGCAAGGAGCTGGGGTCCCAAGCCCAGGGCCCAGGTGGACGAAGAGCATCCACTCCAGCACATATGAGCTAGAGTCCTGGCTCGATGTAACTAGTAGTGTGACTGCGGAGAAGTGGCTTACCTTGCAGAGCTTATGCTCCTCCTCTAGGAGACGGGGACAATGAGGGGACTGATTCTGCAGTGCAGCAGGGAGGAAATGAGACGGCATGCATCTCAGCCAGGCGAGTAAAAGATGAGTGAGCCACGAGAGCAGTCAGGCAAGAGGGCACAGTGGGGATTGTGGAAAACTGGAGAGCCCGTACCCTTCTGGGAAGCAGCTGCCACCAGCTCTATCCATTCTTTTTATTGAGACAGAGTGTTGTTCTGCTGCCTAGGCTGGAGTACTGTGGCACAATCTTGGCTCACTGCAACCTCTGCCTCCCGGGTTCAAGTGATTCTTGTGCCTCAGCCTCCTGAGTAGCTGGGATTACAGGTGTGCGCCACCACGCCTGCTTGATTTTTGTATTTTTAGTAGAGACGGGGTTTTACCATGTTAGCCAGGCTGGTTTTGAACTCCTGGCCTCGACTGATTCACCCACCTTGGCTTAGCAAAGTGCTGGGATTGTAATCCAGCATGAGGTACCACACTCAGCCTTCATCCATTCTTGCAAGAATGCTGCAAGAATGCAACCCAGGGGCTGGAGATATTCTCTCAATCTGAGTCATCATTACATGATGTTGATATATGTAAAAATTCACTAAACTACATACGTAGATGTATATACATTATATATTTATGCCTTGAAACATAAACAGATTAAAGCATTTAAGGAAATGTGGGCCCAGCGTTACCAAAGCTTCTGAATTTTCAAAAGTTTAAAATGCAGATTTTTATATAAAGTACGCTGATTTTTTTTTTGAGATGGAGTTTTTGCTCTGTCGCTCAGGCTGGAGTGTAATGGTGAGATCTCGGATCATTGCAACCTCCACCTCCCAGATTCAAGCGATTCTCCTGCCTGAGCCTCCTGAGTAGCTGGGATTACAGACACACACCACCACACCCCACTAATGTTCTGTAGTTTTAGTAGAGACAGAGTTTCACCATGTTATTCAGGAGTGTCTCATCTCCCGATCTTGTGATCCGCCTGCCTTGGCCTCCAGAAGTGCTGGGATTACAGATGTGAGCCACCGCGCCTGGCCTAAAATCCACCCTGATTTTTAAACGTTGGAAACTTTTTTTCTTTTTGAGACAGGATCTTGCTCCATTGCCCAGGCTGGAGAGCAGTGGTACAATCAAGGCTCACCACAGCTATGACCTCCTGGGCTCAAGCCGTCCTCCCACCTCCGTCTCCCAAGTAGCTGGAACCACAAGCATGCACCACCACACCTGACTAAGTTTTATATTTTTTAGAGAGATGGGGTTTTGCCATGTTGCCCAGGCTGGTCTCAAACTCCTGGGCTCAAGCAATCCTCCCACCTTGGCTTCTCAAAATGCTGGGATTACAGGCATGAGCCACCATACCTGACCTGGAAAGAAAGTCTCACTTGTGATTTTTTTGAAATATCGCTTGAGTGCAGACCGCCCCCCACAACCCCCACCACCAACCCCCTCTATCGGGCTTAATGCCTGACATGCTCAAGGCCGGAGCAGCGTATTCAAGAAAAAGGCAAAAGCCAGATAAAGTCCACAGCCTCAGAACGTTCATTTTCCCAGACACACCTCTAGCCGGTCCACTTTGGCGTAGATACCACGCATTTCTGTCAGTTTGGCCTTAAGGACAGGGATGTGTCCCTCCAGGATCTGTGAAGTATCACTCCTGATCTGCAAGGAACAAAGCAGCTCATCAGGCCTTCTGCCCCGTCACTGCGTCCTCCCGCCTGCCTCAGAGGTTGGCCACGGTCTGTGCAGACCTCACTGATGGCTGAGGTGCCAGGTGGTGTCCTTCCCAAGACAGGCCCTGGAACAGCCCAGAGCACCAGGGGAAGAACAACCTCGTTGCCTCTGCGGACCCAGACCTACCCAGGTGTTATTTAATGAACCACAAATTAATCACTTAACTCCAAACACCCAGCAACACCCCTCCCAAATTAAATATCTTCATTTTCTTTCTTTTTCTTTTTTTTGAGACGGAGTTTTGCTCTTGTTACCCAGGCTGGAGTGCAATGGCGCGATCTCGGCTCACTGCAACCTCTGCCTCCTCAGTTCAGGCAATTCTCCTGCCTCAGCCTCCTGAGTAGCTGGGACTACAGGCACGTGCCACCACGCCCAGCTAATTTTTTTTGTATTTTTAGTAGAGATGGGGTTTCACCATTTTGACCAGGATGGTCTCGATCTCTTGACCTCGTGATCCACCTGCCTCGGCCTCCCAAAGTGCTGGGATTACAGGCTTGAGCCACCGCGCCCAGCCAAATATCTTCATTTTCTAAACGATTGCACTGGAGCAAATGGAAAGAATTAGAATCTCTTCTCTAAACCAAAGCCAAAGTCAGTCCAGTTTTCATTGCATTGCAATTAATATGAACAAGTGGATCATTCTGATTAATATTCATTAATCATGTTAATGAAAACCACAAGCCTCATGTATTAGATGCTTCCGACACTCAGACACTGTGCTAAGTACTTCCCTGCACTGTCTCATTTTGTCTTCATTTTCTTCTGCTTGCAACGGCCCCCAAAGTGAACTGTATGAAGCCATGTATCTTTCCCTTGATCACTGAAATCAGATACCGATGGTTCCATTTTCCTTCGGAGCCCAACAACCAAGCCTGACTCTTCCGTGTGAGAGAACGAGAGACTCCATTTCATGTCATCACATCTTCGCTGTGCAAAAAAGACAATATACTTATGGTTCTCAAATTCTGGGGAGCGGCTAGGTGCGGTGGTTCATGCCTGTAATCCCAGCACTTTGGAAGGCCCAGGTGGGTGGATCACCTGAGGTCAGGAGTTTGAGACCAGTCTGGCCAACATGGTGAAACCCCGTCTCTACTAAGAATACAAAAATTAGCCAGGCATGATGGTGCATGCCTCTAAATCCCAGCTACTCAGGAGGCTGAGGCAGGAGAATCGCTTGAACCCAGGAGACGGAGGTTGCAGTGAGCCGAGATCGCGCCATTGCACTCCAGTCTGGGTGACAGTACAAGACCCTGTCTCTAGAACAAATAAAAATTCAAGTGGGGCTCCCATGAGAAATGGCTGGTTCTAGGACTGAGCTGAGCCTGGAGCATCTTGCAACACCAGAAAGCAAGGAAGTGTTCCACTAAATAAAGGATGGGGCTTACCCAAGGGACACAGAGCCAACCTGCAAGAGTGACATGGCCAAAGCTGGGACAATCTGAGCAACAAAAAGCTAACATAGTATTAGATCACAACTCGAAGTACAAAGTAAATGTGCACAAGCTTAATACATGCAAAGAACTGAACGGGTCTGGAAAGGGGGAAATGGTAAATTCCATTGGAGAAAGCTGGCAGGCACCACCATATGCAGGTTTGCATCCGTGATGCCATGTGGGCACTGGGTGCCCTCTGATGGGTGCAGTAAGAAGCCCCCCTCTGTGGTGATTGTTCCATAAATGCCTGCCTCCAGTCTAACCACAAGAAAAACATCAAATCAAAATTGAGGGACCTTCTAGGAAGCACCTGACCAGCATGCCTCAAAACTGTGCAAGTGACAAAAAGCAAGGTATGACTGAAACTGTCATAGACCGGAAAAGACTAAGGAGATGTGACAACCTCGTGCCATGTGGCACCTTAGAATGGATCCTGGAACAGAAAGAGGACCCTCATGGAAAACTGGTGACATCAAAACAAGGCGTGGAGTTCAGGGAACAGCAACACACCAACGCTGGTTTCTTAGGTTTTTTTTGGAGGGGGGAAGGCTGTTTATAGGGTCTTGCTTTGTCACCCAGGCTGAAGTGCAGGGCTTCGATCATGGCTCATTGCAGCCTTGACCTCCTGGTCTCAAACAATTCTTCAGCCTCAGCGTCTTGAATAGCCGGGACTACAGCTGTGCACCACCATGCCCAGCTACTTTTCTATCTTTTGTAGAGACAGGGTTTCACTGTATTGCCCAGGCTGGTCTTGAATTCCTGATTTCAAGCTATCCTCCTGCCTCAATCCAAAGTGCTGGGATTACAGGCGTGAGCCATCATGCCTGGCCCCTTAGTGCTGACAAATGTACCATGGTGATATGAGATGGTAACAAAGGGAGCCAGGAGCTCAAGACCAGCCTGAGCAACATAGGGAGGCGCCATCTCTATTAAAAAACTAAAAATGGTGGCCGGGCGTGGTAACCCACGCCTGAAATCCCAGCACTTTGGGAGGCCGAGGTGGGTGGATCATGAGGTCAGGAGATCGAGACCATCCTTGTCAACATGGTGAAACCCCGTCTCTACTAAAAATACAAAAATTAGCTACTCGGGAGGCGGAGGCAGGAGAATCTCTTGAACCTGGGAGGTGGAGGGTGCAGTGATCCCAGATCGTGCCACTGTACTCCAGCCTGGCAACAGAGTAAGACTCCGTCTCAAAAAACAAACAAACAAAAAATTAAAAGTGTATTAAAAAAACTTTAGGGTTAATATGGCAACTCTTTGAACAATCTTTGTAACTTTTCTGTAAATCTAATCTATTCCCAAATAAAATACACAAATGTGGTTTTAAAACTCAAGGAAGTAGGTCTAAATCTACAGCTTCTCTCAAGTCAACGGCTTTGGCAATGATGGGCCTGAATCTCCCCAGGCAGCAAAGGCTGGGGCTGCTCCCTCCAGAGCGGCCTGAGCGCGGGGGTTTCCACAATCCTTTCCTCTCCCCTGTGTCCCACCCCAGCTCTATTCTCTGTCTGACTCCAGCATTTGTTACCAGTGACAGGGAAAAGTCCTCAGTCTCCTCCCTTTCTTTCCCAAGGCCGGATTTCTAGAGAGAAGCTCATCCCTCGACAAGGCTAAACTTGGAGAAAATCATCCTGATGTAGCAAAGAGCAGATAATTAACTTGAGGGCAAGGTCAGAACATGGGGGAATAAACTCGAATCTTATCTTTCTGTTAATTTCTAAAGAAACAAAACGGGGGAAAAGTGAGAATGAGCTTCAGGGTACGGGCTGGGATTGGCAACATACAGGAGACAGAGAAAGTGGTAGAGAGGAGATTCAAGACCACACCTAGCTCACTAAATCCCAAAGAATTGGGAACAAAGAAGTCTCTTCTCTATTTTTTCCTTATTTTTATTTATTTGGTTTTCTTTGTTGTTGTTGTTTTGAGACGAATCTCACTCTCTCTCCCAGGCTGGAGTGCAGTGGCGCCCTCTCTACTCAATCCAACCCCACCTCCCAGGTTCAAGCGATTCTCCAGCCTCAGTCTCTGGAGTAGCTGGGATTACAGGCACACACCACTGTGCCCAGCTAATTTTTGTATTTTTAGTAGAGATGGGTTTTACCATGTTGGCCAGGCTGGTCTTGAACTCCTGACCTCAAGTGATCTGCCCATCTTGGCCTCCCAAAGCGCTGGAATTACAGGTGTGAGCCACCACACCCAGCCTGTTTCTTATTTTTAGAGAAGTCCCTTCTCTGATGCAGCTTCTCCAATGGCTGAAACCAAAGGCAACAGGGAACTGTTTATACCTGCCCAGAGGTTTCCAGCAGGTACTCAAAACGGGGGGTCAGGGAGTGCAATCCCAGGGGCTGAAGGACCCTAGCCTTACCGTTGATTCCACCCTGGGCTGGGAACCATAATGGAAACTTTAGGGCCAGGTGCAGTGGCTCATGCCTATAATCCCAGTTCTTCGGGAGACTGAGGCAAGAGGATCACTTGAAGTCAGGAGTTCAAGACCAGTCTAGGCAACATAGTGAGGCATCCTCTCTATTTAAAAAATTTAAAAAAAATTTAAAGGAAAAAAAGGAACTGTAGGGTTAATGTAGGACCAGTCTGGAGGGGCATGAAACTGACAGAGCATACTCCACGAACGCTCACCGTGTGCTGGGGACAGCCCCGTGACGCAAGAACTATTTCTTCTTCAACCTTATTTTAAGGGAGATAAAAGCGAGAATCAGAGAAACTAAATGAGCTGCCCGAGGTCACAAAGCTAGAAAGTGGGAGAGGGAGGATTTCAACCCAGATGGGCCTGAGGCCACCCTTCCTAACACGAGATCTACAGACATCGTTCCATCAGGGTGAGGCAGTGTCAGCCCAACCACACCTGAAAAAACAAGAACAGTACAACCAAACCAGATGCCAGGAGGTCAAAGTCAGGATCTTTCCCTTAGAAACCAAGACCTCTGCCTTCTTGCGAAAAATCAGAAGACCTGGCCACGCTGAGCCCACGTTCCACATGGCAACAATAAGCTGGAGCTGTGACAGCTGCCACTTTTGTTAACCCCAGTCCCCAACACTCCCTACAGTCTCCCCAACATGGAATCCATGGCTACCCAGAGGAGCACTTTCTTCTTATAGAGGTGTCAAAAGGAAAATGACACACTTTTCATCTCCAACCCACTTCTCGTTACATTACAGGCATTTGCATTTGCACGCCTTGGACCAGGCTCTGAGAAGAGCAAAGAGATGTCAGTGAAAAAGGCTCCATGCTCCAGAGCCTCTGCCGGGACAACCAACCAACCAGGTATGCTAGCCTGGGGGCCACAGACCCTTCCCCCAACTATCCTCCCACCTCCCCAGAGCTGGTCTCCAGAGCCCAGAAGTCTGGGCAGCAGGTACGGAGGTCATCACAGAGCAAAGTCATCTGTCCAGGATGATTCAGGGCCCCTAGGAAGCAGAGCCAAACGCACTTGACCCAAGAACATGCACCCACACCAAATGCAACTGCTGGGCCAAGGC